AAGACCCCTAGACCCCACTGGACAATGTTGTCACAACTCTGCTCTTCAATTGAAAACAGACATCATCTTTAGAGACATTTGTCATGTTTAGAGACATCGGCACACCATTTCTCGACCAGCTCTTTCCTTTGAGCCCAAAAAAACATTCATATCTTGTCTGACATCGCTGTTACAAACTCTGGTTTTCAACTCTGGTTTTATATTGAAAACAGGGTCAAATGGGGCTTAAATGAAAGCTGTGATGTTCGACTAGAAAAGTAGAAAACCATTTCACTGGAGGAAAAAAAAGCCAAAGGGAATTTGGATATCCTCAAGAAGTTGATTTTCAATATTTATCTCTCTATATTATAACAATCCAAATCAACTTCTGGTGACGAAAATTTGGGACTCGAAATTAAAACTCCAAAATGAAGCGTCAGAAGCTAAGGGTCACGAGGGTTAAATTAAGTGTCAGAATAAGGGTCTAAATAAGAGTTATGGGGGTAATCGGTTGTATAGGGTTAAATGTCAAAATCTTGCGCTAACTGAAATTCACAATTCCAAATCCCTAATAACAGGGGATAAATTCCTGGAAATCACTAACACGTTACTTAAAGTCAGTGACATGTCCCGGAAAATCAAAACTTTTTTTCTGTAATAATCTCTAAAGAATAATAGCTAGAAGAATAACGATGAAGATTTCTCATAAGAAACCTCAACAAGTGGGTTTTCCATAATTATACGAAACAATTTAAAATAAACAATCATACAAACATGTATAATAAACAATTTCCATATTTTATTATTGAAACATCCACAGACCATAACATAAAGTATTCAGTGTTCTCACAATAAATTTTACATTACCCACAAACAAACTGTACGAAATGAGTACGTAATAGTGCTCATCCATTTAGGCACCTAGAATAAATTCTCCAGATAAATGAATGTCAAATAGTCAAGACTGACCGAAGAAAAACATCATTTGACAGTTATTAAAATAAGAAAATGATAAAATGAGAGAAAAGAAGAACCTTATTCCAAAGAACTTTGTACTTCCAGTATGTACATCATCACGCAAACGAGAAACATGTAATTCAGTGTCACAGGTGAAGATTGATATGACAGTTAATATTGTGAATGAGAAATCAATCGGTATCGACAAGATTTCGCAAGTATTTCTTTTTTTTTCTTTCCCCAACAATTGAAGAAATTATTGAATGGGATAAATAATCTTGTTGATGCAAAATTACGTCTCCACTGGTTTATCGTATTCACAAGTGAAATCAACTCGAATTAAATTAGTAGTCCCTTACGAAATCTAATTATCCATTCAAACCCCGAAATTTATAAAAATGTTGTGACATAATCATTCGTTCGTGAGAAATTCGACAGATGAGTCTCTGTTAATCCCCAATTCATCTGTGATTGAGAGCTGTGATGTTGATCCAATGTTTCATGCTCTCAATTATAAATTCGTTATTAGATTTCTACAGTGACACAGTTACTGTTGTGGAGCTTGTACTGGCACCATGTGCTGGGTTACACGTAGTAGGGCATTTATCAAAGACTTCAGGATTCGTGGCATGGATGGTGAAACTGCTGCTGAGGACAATGCGTTCCTTATCTCCCGGAATATATTGCGGGTGGATGGATTTCTCATCGATGACAGGCGCATCCATAAGAATTGGTAGTAGATGAACGGCGTTAATAGCCCTGCACGACCACTGAAAGGGACGTACACATGTTACAGAGAGGAAATATATTGTTACGGATTGAACATGAGAGAAAAAACAACGGGCAGTTATTCGCATGTCATCTAATTTTTCAGATCTTATTTGAAATTTTGAAATTAATGAAGAAATAAATAATTTGAGATGTCAATTAGTTTTACAGTTTGGCACAGACCGCACTATAGATTCACTATAGATTGCCAATTAAATCACGTGAGAAAAATCTGAAAAAATCCTGACCGTTCAGCACAAATAAATAATTGAATTTGTTTTTTCTTCTTCCATTCTGACGCAATTTTCTTATCTCCTTTTTTTATTGTTATTCTGCATTGTTTTTCTTTCATTAGACGTTTTTTCTTTCATCTAAAATGATCGAGATCTCCTTTAATTCCACGATAATTATCACAATCTTCATGGCTCTCCCCTCCACTCACTGAAGAGGATTGGAAAGTTTGGGAAGACAACGGAATTTATAAATACCATTTTCTGGTTTTGGATGGTGAAAGTTTCCACTTTTTTTCAAGAGATTGAATGGCGAAGGGTGGGGCAAAATGAACCGCTAATACCTCGGAATTGACCGAATAAAATATCAAAAATTCTCTCGAACTCTATTTTTAAGCTATAAAATTAAAAATAAAATATTGTATTTCCATCATTAATTTGAATGCAGAGAAATAATGATAAAATTTCAAATTAACTAAAAATTTGAAACTTTTTCTATTAGACTTTTCTTGATTTCTATTAATTTTTATTCCATAATTTATTCCATAATTGAAAGGCATGAAAAATATGAATTTGATATCACTTATGAAAATTATTGATCTGCAATGCTCACCGTCCCACAATAACTAGCGAAAAGAACAATATCTAGTCAAATTAGAGACTATCCCTCAAAAAATAAATCAAATAAAAAAAGCTAGTCCACAAAATTCAGTTCCGTAAATACGAACTACACGTTTCCCTCAATATGAATTTACACTCAACGACCAGTTCGGGAAGTAATGATATTATCTAAAACATGAATAGGTAAAAACCAGGAACAGAATTGGTGTGTACCCAACACTTACCTGAAAACGAGGATGATAGTAAGCGGTAAAATAATGATTTCGCACAATGCACAGAGACGTAAAATAGTGCGTGACTGGAATTCAACGAGAGATATGAGGAGCCTAGCTTGCCAAACGCTATTCTGACCCAGAGTCTGGAAGAAAAAAACAACCATTAATGCAAGTCATTAATCCCAGGATATGAGGGATTATTAAAACCTGAAAAGTATCAATTAAACTCACGTCTAGCAATGTTAGAGAATAGCTCGCGCAATGCATAACAGCGAAGAGAAATACTGGTACTAGCACCACTGTATTCTGTGTTAAGGAAGGAAGTCACCTGAATTTTTTTAAATACAAAAGTGTGGGGCAGAATGAATTTTCCACTGTTTACTATTTTCTTATTAAGCAAACTATAGCAGAAATTTCTCTGTATAAATAATGTCATGTATTCAAATGGAGTGAACAATATTATTATTATTATTATTATTATTATATTTTAGTTGTCAACTAGAATAGAAAAATATAAAGTTAGCAAAATTGAATAAATTAAAAGAATTTTTTTTAGAATAATAATAAAATAACAAAAGATAATGAAATCGTTATTATTTTGAATCTCCTTCATTGTGCCCCACACAATATTCTCAATTCCCTGGAATTAAAAAAGGATACAAGTCACAGGTGCTACATAGAGGAATATCAATGAGTATAGTAGGTAGTGACAGGAATCCTCCACAAGAAGGAGCTCGAGAAATCGAGTATTGAGCTGCACCCCTGGCACCCTTTGATGAAGACGTAGTGCACTGGTTGCAGCACTGCTCATCAATGCTTTGTAATAAGCATTGTATGGATTGCTGCAATGACAAAAATCGTTAATTCGTGAGTTTGATTTCAGAATCATCCAGTGTTCGAAAGAATTAGATTGAGAATTATTTGAATGCTTTTGAAATTTCGGGAGGTCTCGTTGAATCAATTAGCGTGATTATGGGGGCAGTGGTATTGCGTCTAGTGTTTTGAATACTGAATGATTCACTCCGCTCGTTGAGGACATCCAAGTATCTTTCACAGTTTGGTACAGACCACACTATAGATGCAACCATTTTCAATCATCAAATTTATTTATTTATTTATTTATGTATTTTCATCAAGACCCAACAGCCAACGGTCAATGACAGGGTCACTACATCTCATACATAAGTAGCAAAAAAAAAATTACAATGAATGATACATAACTGAATGACGTAATGGCAACAAAAATAAAGGAAATTCTTATCCAGTAAATAAAGAAAAAAAACAAAAGTGTAAACAAAAGTATAAACCATAAATAAAAAAGAAAGGTTATGCAGCAGTCTCTCTAAGGCGATCCAAAAAACTTGAATGCGCGTAACGCAACGACTCAAATTTTGTCAATTAAATTGCGTGAGAAAAATTGTAAATAAGTGATGAATATTCAGCGCCATTCAAATTACGTTCTGCAGAGAATTAATATTTTTTAAGCATTCGTTGTTTGTGAATTAATAATTGAAAAGAAATTTTTATTGTGGAAAATTGATTGTTTGTAAATTATTTAATTGCAATTTTTAAGTTAATAATTCATCAATCTTCCCCCGAAAAGTAAACTTTAGGATTTTTTTCAGATTTTTAATCTTTCGTTGGTCGCGCTAGCTCGGCTGATGTCTGCGGTCCCGCGGTTAGCGTCGCCGGGTATGGGGTTTGGGCCATACAGCGTTGCCGCCGGCCGCAGTATCTTTTCGATCGAGTCAAAAGACTCGTTCACGCTCAACTTTTTACGGTGTTTTATGAGTTAAAATTCGTGGGTAATTTTCTTTTTTATTTTTATTCGAACTCTTTTCGCAAAACCAATAATATATTTCATACTTTATTTTGAATTTTTCACTAACTTGACTCTGTAATCATCATCACCAACGACTGAACTTTACAGTAAGCTGATATTCACCTGTTTTTTTCATTTATACTATTTATTCATTTTTGGTTCTTTTATTGGATATCTTCAAGGATATTCAAGTAGCTTTTACAGTTTGGTACAAACCACGCTATAGATTCAACCATTTTCAATCATGAAATGTTTCAATTAAATTCTGTGCAAAAAAAATTGAAAAAAATGAATATTTAGTGTGACTAAAATTACATTTTGCACAGAATTATCATTTTTTTAACATTTATAAATAAATTATTAGAATTGTTTAAATTTTGGAAACATTATGAGTAAATTTGTTACGATTCCGAATAAATGTTTTCTACTGCTTCAAAATTCAAACTTAACCCTGCAAAGTTTAAATAATAAAACTATTGTAAAATGTCCGGAAACTTAGGGTCAAATGGGGCTCGAATGAAAGCTATGATGTTCGACTATAAAAGGAGAAAACCAAAAATAGCCGATTGGATATCCAAGTATCTCTAATACTTTGGTACAGATCACCGTATAGATTCAACCATTTTGAATCATCAGAATTTTCAATCAAATTCTGTGAAAAAAAAATTGAAAAAAATTATGAATATTCATTGACATTAAAATTACATTTTGCACAGAATATTCTTTTAAAGCATTTATAAATAAATAATTAAAAATGTTTAAACTTTTGAAAACATGATTTTTTTACGGATGAAATAGATTTCTAGTAAAATTTTGAAGATGAATAAATTTTATACGATTTCGAACAATGTTTTTTACCGCTTCGATTTCGAGATTCAACTCAACTCAATCCTGCAAAGTTTGACTAATAAAATCACCATAAAATGTCCGGAAATTTAGGGTCAAATGGGGCTCAAATGAAACCTCTGATGTTCGACTACAAAAGTAGAAAAGCATTTCACTGGAGCAAAAACCCCTAACGTACTAGGATATCCTCAAAGCTACTAAAACTAAAATTCACGTACCCAAATACTGGAATTAGATATCCTATTGTGAACAGAATGGTGAAGATTCTCGTTGCCCACAATGCAACATTAACTTTATTATCAATAACATGTTTTTTGAGAGCCCCCCAGCCCTTCTCTACCTGGGGAGTCCCATCACTCTCCCCCGTAGCTGCACTCGAAGTATCAGCCATCCTGGAATAAACACGTAATTATCAACGAATCCCACAATCGCGATTTTACATAATCTTGTAGAGATCAAATTCCACGATTTCTGCTCACTCGTCACCACATTATCTCACCAATCTCTTTATCGTTAATTTACAGTTAATCATTTGGAGATTGCACAGAGATACAATCAACCTAGCCCCACTTTTCATCAACATTTAATATCCAAAAGTGCTTACGTGTAACTTTCACAATGTTTATGAATTATTTAATTGATATTGTACTTACTCAATCAGTCAACTGTGATTACCCCCTAAATATCCAAATGCTGCTCTAGAGTAGCGCAGCAATGACAGTGAAAATGATTCTATTGAATTGATAGGCAGCTCTAGGCGAGTCAGGAAATACTACTCACTCCAGTCCTCCAGTTTTGCTTACTGAAGTAGTGAACTGCGTGAAGTTGGTCAGGTGTTCGGTGATAGGTACGATGTAGGATACCTAGATAACTATCGTACCAACTAGAATTGAGTGTGGAATTCAAATTCTGGTGTACTTTAGGGTATATGACTAGGTAGAAAGCACATTTTTCTTAAGATTGTCCCCATGTTTTTCATAAATCATGTTCATAATAGTCTCCAGTTATTGAAAAAAATTCTCACTAGTATAAAATTAATGTAGAATTAGTATTTTTTAAATTCCAACTGATTCTAAAAATATGTCACGATCCACCATCTTCTTTAAGGGGTAACTGAAGACCACCGGTTCCTCGAAATTTTCAAATAAATTTCCTGCTCAAAGTTATTAATATTTTTTAAACCGAAAGCCCATTGATCTTCATTATCGACTCCTGGAGATTAATGTGCTTTGATTTGTAAAAATATCAATAAGTTTCGGCAGGAAATTTGTTTAAAAATTTGGAAAATTATCAACATTTTGCCACCCCTTAAGGGGTAACTGAAGGCCATCGTTTCCCCGAAATTTTCAAACAAATTTCCTGCTCAAAGTTATTGATATTCTTGGCATCCAAAGCACATGAACCTTCGTGATCGTCTCCTGGAAATTAATGTGCTTTGATTTGTAAAAATATCAATAACTTTCGGCAGGAAATTTGTTCCAAAATTTGGAAAATTAAGGGCATTCTATTACCCCTTAAGGGGGGACTACTATGCGTTTTAAAAGGCGCGAACTACTGGAATAAGATTTCCCATACATTGAAGATCAATTATGTGTGTCTAAAAGCGAATAATTATTGCAAAAAACCTACTAGTTTATTGTTCGTTTACTCCACAAACGCCTAAAATCTGAAAAATAGTCCAGGGCCTCCAATTTTTGAGCTATAGAGGGTCTTTTTTTCAAATTTTTTGGAAAAATATGTGCAATAACGATTACGAATTAGTTTTTTGAAATTCAACTACTACACAGCTAATTTGATTATTATTTTAATAAAAAATTGCGCCATTCATGTAAAATAACCCGAAAAATATTTTTGAAAGAATCGGAATATATTTTCAATATTTTAAGGATAATGTTTCTGCCTATTTTACACGAATGGCGCAAATTTTTATATTAAGCAAACCGAAATTAGCTGTGTAGGTGTCGCATTTCAAAAAATTAATTCGTAATTGTCATTGTACACATTTTTTCAAAAATTTTGCAAAAAAGACCTCTGTAGCTCAAAAATTGGAGGCCCTGGACTATTCTTAACATTTTAAGCGTCTGAGAGGAGCAAACGAACAATGAACAATTAATTTTTGTGTACTAATTATTCGGTTTTAGACATATATAATCAATCTTCAGTGCACCAGAAATCTCACTCCAATATCCCACGACTGTTAAAACTCTATTAGTTTCATTTTTCTTCTTTTTACTTGCATTTTACGATGAGAAAATAACAACAACACAAAAATGTTGAGGCAATATGTTAGGTCGGTATTTGTTGGAACCGCTCATAAAAATAGGAATTACAAAAAATATATAAAAATAGAATTAATAAAACACACTTCAGCAAAAAAAGACTGAATAAAAAAAGATAGTCTTTTTTATCGCCGCGAAAATCGTAATTGAAACGCACGCAACTTCAGAGTATTAATGAAAGAGCGCCACGTACAGTCGGTTCAAAATACCTCTGACAAGCGCCTGTCATCTGTACTACTTTCCATTTCTACGTGGCCTACATTCTCTCATGTGCTGCAGCATGAACCTGAGAAGGCCGGATCGCCGTGAAAAAGTGGTAGGAGTGTTGTCACAAGCACCTGACCCTACCATCGCGCAGTCGATACCCATCCAAACGCGGCAAAACATTTAATCCCAGCAATTCATAATTCAATTACGTCCGGTGATTGACGCTCGCTTCATCCTCACTGTGACTAGTCTCCTGCACTTTTTGAATTAACAAATGCGCAGGATTAAGTTTAAACAGAGGTTTTTAATGTAATTGAAAGGTGCCTGAGAAAGTCAAATTCAGGAGGATGTTCGTCGTGGTTGGATCAACACTGGCTCTTCTCGCTAGTTTTTTCGCTTACAGTAAGTCGAGGTATCACTGGTCGGTTATGGCGAGGAAAATTGCGCTCGAGGTGAAGTACCAGCTCATGGGGATGAGGGAGACTATTCTTGATCTTGCTCAGGCTAGGCACAATAAAACAGGTGAGGAACAGTGATCGTAATTATTTAATTTTTCAATATTCAATCTATTTTCTGTGATGGCACAAAAGTATTCTTTGTTTTACATCCACTCTAGCCTTTCTTCTCATCCCACTTGAGATATACCCCTAGAAAACAGGTTTTTCTTACGATTATCCTATCTTTTTCATAGATAAAGTTTATAATATTCCCCAGCTATTGAAAACAAGTGGGAAATTGGTTTTGTTTTCCATATAGTAGAGGAGGGCGGGGCAAAACGGATTAGATTTCTTTTAAATTATTCATAACTCAGAAACAAATTGATCAATTGAGCTCAGTTTAGGCTCGTCATAAAGGGAAAGAATTGTTCTTTGTATTGAAAAAAAATTATTATATTTTATGAACATTTCCACCCCTCTAACATTTTAAAACAAGTCAAAAGTGTCCGTTTTACCCGAACCTCTCCTATAGTTATTACTATACTGTTCTTTATCATTATACTATTCTTTCTATTCTTTGGTATTCTTTGCTTTACATCCACACTAGCCTTTCTTCACATCCCACTTGAGGTATTCCCCTAGAAAACAGGTTGTTCTTACGATTATCCTATATTTTTCATAGATAATGTTTATAATATTCTCCAGCTATGTAAAACTATTGGGAAATTGGTCTTGTTTTGCATGTAGGATAGTTATTACTATACTATTATTTATTAAAATTTTTTCTTCTTGTATACCCTTTCGGGTCTTTACGATTTGTGCTCTCCCCACCCCCCAACCCCCTGTACCGCATTCGCCGAAGGACAAGGGAAAACCTCATTTGAGGAAAAAACCTGCCCAGGTAGAGTCGTCTCTTGCGAGACTCCCGCTCAACAATGAAACCGTGAGATTTAGAGTGTCACAAATCTTGGCTCCCCCAGCCGGGAACTATTCTTTATTATTATACTATTTTTTGTATTCTTTGGTATTTACATCCACAGTAGCCTTTCTTGTCATCCCACTTGAGGTATACCCCTAGAAAACAGGTTTTTCTGACCATTATCTCCATGTTTTTCATAGATAAAGTGTATAATAAAGAAGTTTATAATAAAAAGTTGTTTTTCATAGATAAAGTTTATAATATTCCCCACCTATTGAAAAGAAGTGGGAAATTGGTTTTATTTTGCATATAGTATAGTTATTACTATACTATTCTTTATTATTATACTATTTTTTGTATTCTTTGGTATTTGTTTTACATCCACAGTAGCCTTGCTCCTCATCCCACGTGAGGTATTCTCCTAGAAAACAGGTTTTTCTTACCATTATCCCTATGTTTTTCATAGATAAAGTTTATAATATTCTCCAGCTATGGAAAACAAGTGGGAAATTGGTTCCATTTTACATATAGTATAATTATTTTTCCGAATAAATTAGCAATATACTTCAGAATGGGTATTTTGCACATCATTTCCTTCTCTCATGTATAATTCATTGTTTATTTAATTTTATTAAATTGAATGAAATTTCTTTTTAGCTTATTTTGTCAGATTTTCAACTTAGTGGACTGCTATCATGATCATTATTCTTATCCCTTTTTTCTATCTCTCCCCTCAGCCCTGCGATAAAATGTTAACAGAAAAATTTTAGTTATACATAATCGAATGAATTTGAAACGTCACATTTGGAGAAACCACCGGAGTTTCAATGTCGAAATCATTGAATGCACTTATAAATTATCATTGGAATTGATTTATTCGTGAGACTAGAAGACTTTCGCTTCCAGCGGAAGTTTGCTTCTATCAGGGCTCTACTCAATAAGTGCTCTGTATTCGAATGATTCTTATTAATTCCAGATTTGCCTCGGAAAAACGGCTGTGTGGCAATCATCACTGGTGGCTCTCGGGGTATCGGAGAGGTTGTTGTGAAAATGTTCTTACAATGTGATATTGACGTCATTATTGGTACAATGTCCAGTTCTATTGCTTGATGATCCATCGGTTTTTATGGTTTACTAATTGCCAGCATTTTGCGCTGTAGCTTGCCGGAGGATCGAGGCAGGGGAGAAAGCAATTGAGAATATTCGGAAATCTGGCACAACGACAGGGAAAGCCGCTGTCTATCGTCTCGACAACTCGAGTTTAGCTTCGGTCAGAGAATTTGCTGAAGAAATTAAGAGGGATTACAGTAAAGTTGATATTCTTGTCAATAATGGTGAGTATTTTAGGAAACTTTCTATGTACACAACGCAGAATTTCAGGAGTGAAGCGGTTAAACGGGTCAAGTCGACTTGGCCCTTAGCTGAGTTTTCGAGAAATATCTCCGAATCTAAGGCAGATAACGAAATTTTCGTTATGACCTTTCTTGTAGCCCACAATTCACTCTTCAAAAAAGGTGATAGCAAAAAATATGTTATCTCCCTTAGATTTCGAGATATTCATTGAAAACTGGCCAATAGTCAAAATCTACTTCAACCGTTTACCTTTCACCACTGATTTATCAACTGGAATTTTTTGATGGAATGAAAAATTCCGTTTCACTGAAAATTTAATGAATCATCAACATTGCAAAAAAAATTAGGTGTCCATTTTCCCCCGGTCGCTTGTATTTTAACGATTCGAGCAAATGATGGCGTAAATGATTGATTATCGTTTTTTTTTAGCTGGAGTAATGTTTCCACCTTATCAAGAAACAGTGGATGGATTTGAACAACAGTGGGCTGTCAATTATTTGTCCCATTTTTTGCTTACTGCGCTGCTGATGCCACTACTTCGCAATGCTGGATCGTCAGAAAATTCAGCGAGGGTGGTTAATGTCTCTTCCTGCGCTCACGGGCTTGGAGAAATTAATTTCAACGACATCAACTACAAGTATGTGAAAAAAGATATCACTTCGAAATTTCGGGATATCTAAGGAATTTTTTATTGTTGGATTCGACGAGTCAGTAATTTGTTTAACTAATTCAATTTTTAATTAAAAAAATCAAGTTTTTCTTTTTTTCTTCGATGGATTCTTAAGTGTTCTCACGACACAATTCTCAATCGATTGACTTGAATTTTGGCTTACACATAGAGGGCATATGCATGATTATAACTAAATGAGGCTTTTTGAATATCTTCATTTTTTGGGTTTTTGAATTTTTTTCCTGCTATTGTTACAGAGGAAAATTCCCAAAAATTGTTCAAACTGAAGTACATGACGTATGAATTTTTTCATATTTTTTCATCATTTTTCTCATTTTATTCCAAACAAATGATTCAAAAAATCTAAAAAAATTCTACAAACTGAAAAAATGCAAATTTTCAAAAACGCCATTGTGTTATATTTGTGTACATATCACGTATATGTGATTTTATTCTTCTAAAGCCTCTTTCTGATCGATAAAAATCAAAACCCATTGTTTTCATTTTTTTACATTAAAACTAAAGTAGATGAAGACATTGGAGATTTCGAAACTTCAGGGCGGTCTCCCCTTAATCCCTTAGCACCTGTAAATTCCCCCAACTCCTTTGCATTCGCAAATATATAAAAAAAAACGTCAGCATTAAATCAAATAGTTTCATGAAATCAATTTTTGCTTGTTTTTCTTTGTATGAACGATGAATATTCATGTCGAATTTCATATTTCAGAGCTCCCTACTTCGCCAATGCGGCCTACGCTCAAAGCAAATTAGCTCAAATCCTATTTACCAAATCTCTGGATCAAATTTCTCGAGAAAAAAAACTCCCAATTCGTGCTTATGCGGTTCACCCAGGAATCGTTGATACAGAATTATTTGAAAATAGTTTCATCGACAAACTCACGTGGATCAGAGCATTATTCTTCAAGGTAATAATATTCTATCACCATTTCTAATTAATATATTGGGAAATTTATCAATTATTTGAATTTTGAAGGAATGAAATCTCATTATTCTTCCTCTATTTAAAATGGTATCTTTGCCAATCGAACTCTTCAAATACGATTCCATTTGCAATATTCTCTGAACTAATAATAGAAAGTAAATCAAATGACAATTTTGAAAAATGATTTTTGAAGTTTGAAATATTCCTGAAAAAATAATAGGAATCGCAAAAATTCAGGGGAATGTATTATTGAATTCTAAATTAATTGCTGCTCAAACATTAGAATTTTTATTGAATTTCCAGTGAAATTTTATCATTTATGTCATTCTCCTAAAAATTACTAGTCAGCTGTCCCCGAAATTTCAATATTTTTTCAAGTATTGTTTGAAAACGTGTTTTCTGTTCTCTCAGTATAATTTTGTAATTCATAATTACTATTTTCTAGACCCCTCGACAAGGTGCCACGACAATAGTCTACGCAGCTGTGAACAAGGGACTCGAAGATCGTGGGGGTGTGTACCTGAGTAATTGTCTAGAAGTTGCTGCAAGTCCACTAGCGGAGGACAAATCCGTCCAGGAAAAACTCATGGCTCTGAGCCTCGAGCAAACTCACCTGACAAACTTCCTGCAGTATTTATAAAACAGCATTCGTAAAATAATACTGAATAACTCCAATAATCCCTTTTCTAATTTATACAATTTATTATACAATGATTCCATCCATAATTCAACAGTATAAAACCAATGGAATACTTATAAACAGAATCAAAAACATTCGTACTGACATACTCAAGGTTTCGTGTACACTTGTCGTCCAACTCGATACGCAGCTGTGGATTTTATCCGAGCACCTCGAAGGGATACTGAGTTACTGAGTAGGGCAGGTGTTCGTTGATAAATTCCTCTTCCTTCTGGTGTCCCCGCCCTCAACGTCACGTCTTCGTCACGATTCGGTGTGATAGAAATCCAGCCTATGAACAATTAAATAGAACTGAATGTATCATTGGGAAAAACAAGAGGACTTCCCACGATTTTGTAATACTCTGGTTGTTATATTTTTGAAAAATTTGTAATTTCAGTCATCAAGACTATTAATATCTACTCCTACTCTTAAAACTGATCAGAAGTCCTGAAATTGCAGAACAGAAATCAGGTTTTCTTTAACAATCTAACATCAATATTTAGAAAGTTTTGGAATTCACAAACTTGACTTAAGTTTGAAAGATGTTCATTTGAAAATTTCAAATATAACATTTCATTACAGCAAAAGCACAGAAGCAGTCAATCCTAACAAAACGAATTCATTTTGAAAACAGTATCTTTGGGGAAGAATGTCGAACTTTTGTAGCTGAATCTTTGATGATACAAATCCAGCCTATCGATAATTAAATAAAACTAAATTTTCCAATACAATTGAATGTTCGTGCCGTATTATTCATAATCCCATTCTATTCTATGTTTTAAGGCCGTCCAACTTCGAGGTTTTACGGGCCATTATCCCCGGTATCATTTAAAAAACAACAGGCTTTCCACGATTTGGTGATTCTGCTATAAAATTCTGATAATTATATCTTTGGAAAATTAGAATTTCAGAACAAAAATCAGATTAAGGCCCGGGTGGATTATCTTTCGAACGTTATCTCGATTGTTTTTCCATCTTCATAATGTAACATATATCCAATTCCATGGGATTTCACATCACACAGGAGTCCCTAAAAATTGTAATTGTACAATGAAAAAAAATTTAACATTTTCAAAGAGCGTTTTTAATAAAGATTAAGAAATAAGGTCGATAGAGAGGAAATAGTGAATGGATAATTTATCGTGGTAACTAACGATCTGACAGCCATTAACTACTGTGACAAATGCCGACCTAACACTCATTAGATACCTCAAATTATTAATTCGCCATTTCCTCCCTATTGGGTTTATTTCCCAATATTATTCAAAACTGCTCTTTGAAAATGTTCAGCCTTTTTTCAAGGTTTTTTTGATTGTACAATCACAATTTTTGGAGACTCCAGGGCTATGTAAAATTGCATAGCAATTGGAGATAAGATGACGTTCGAAAGATAATCAACCCGGGCCTTAAAGAAAAATTAACGAAAATGTCATTATTTTTCTTTAACATAATTAAACAAGTCGTAATGAAAATAGTACCTGCACTTGATAAAAGTACATCACAAGTCGACACATCCTTACTGACCCCTTGAGCACTAAAGTCCTTGTATTCGAAACGTGGCCAGATTTTGAGCCTCTCAGGATCATTAATGGGCACAGCAAGTGCATCTGTGTGCAGCAACTCATTATAAATATCATCAGCATCTTTGGTTTCACATATTGTAACGGGAAGAGATGCGCTAGCGAAAACGGTAATTCTAATGAACTCAGGGCCAGTCAGGAGATCGAGTCGTCCCAATCCAGCCAAGAACAGCGTTTGGCCTGGTTTGAAGATGAAACTCCTCGGTGATATGATTTCCGTGGATAATGTCAATAAGAGTTCTTCCGTTGTGAGTAGATGGAGTATTTGATCTGGGTGAACGACACCAGGAGTGTCGTAGCACCATCTGCTTCTGATGAAGGTATCGTCATTCTCATTGATACCAAATTTACGACCTGTTGCTAGCCTTCTCTCGTATGCAGTTAACGCTGGTCCTATTAGACTTGTTCTTAATGGGAACGTTCTGCCGATTCTTTCTGCATGAAAAATGTGAATTGATAAGAATTTATTCACACGATACTATAATAAAATACTGTTCATAAAAGTTACAAAACATTCTGATAATTCTGAGGCATCATGAAGAATTAAAATGGAATAGAACTCAATTTTTCAATGGGATTACAAACTTTATGGTGTTTTATTCAGAAAAACAGAAGTCTTAACGCGATTTTGTGGTATAGTTATCGAATCCTGACAATTATATTTTTCGAGAATTAGATATTTCAGTCATTACGGCTATTAATAGTCAATTCTGCTCATAAAAGTGATCAGGAGTGATTAAATCTAAGATCATTATTCGATTTTTGAATAATTCAGAGAGAAACTTGGAAATTACAAAAAAATAAAAAGAAAATTCTGAAGATCTTGAGTGAGAATTTATTAAAATTAGTGAAAATTCTTTAAATTCTCAGGTTTTTTATAAGGAATGACAAGGAAATAGAATATTTCAATTAGAATAGAATTTTTTCAGCAAAACACGATTGTTGCCACGATTTTATCATAACTTATGAAAATTCTTACCGAACACAAATTACATATCTGAACGATCCAACATCAATATTCAGTGTTACATGAAAAAAAAAATCGTCATTTTAAATAATTCTGAGTGGAAGTTTAGAAATTGATTGGATTGGAAATTTTAAACACGAATTCTTATAATTAAATTGAACAAAACGATTTCACATAATCAATTGTGACGTTCTATTGAAAACAAGTGCTTTTTGAAACACATTCATAACAGAAATAATGTTAAAAAAACGTTAGTAGATTGAGATTAGTTGAGTCTACCAAAGAACATCCTTAGACATTCTCCCAAAATCTCACATCTCAATCAATCTTCAATCAGACATGAAAAACCCACTCGTTTTGTCACGTTTTTCTAATCAATTCGGTTAAATTGATTATTGTGAAAAACATCATACCTTGCAACGTTGCAAACGAAATATTGCGCTCAGCAGTCGTTTGACGTTTACGAAATTGCAACTCAGCTTGCTCCTCAGCTACTTCAGCCATTAGTCTCTGGGCTCTCAGAGCCAATCGCCACCGAACAGGATTTAAAATCGGAAATTTAAGGAGGTTGAGAGTTGTGCCGGGCCATGGAGATGTCGTAGCTCTCTGAATTAAATCCACAGCCTGCACCTTGCAGTAATCAGACTGCAGGAGAGCATTGAATAATGTGGATTTACCAACATTCGTACACCCAATCATGTAGACATCCCCTAAAAATCAAACAGAAATAAAGAATTCAACAACAGAATTCCATAATATTTTTTTCAAATTGTCAACTCAACTTGCCACTCGCGAAATAAACTATTTATTATGATTTAATAATTTCTTTTCAATTAGTTATTATGATTTAATGATTTTTCAGGATTTTTTCTAGGTATTACTAATTAATCTTGAAAACAAAACAGCAATTTCCCCACTAGACCCTGTGTTATTCGCCACTTTCTAATGAATTGTAATCAACAATATTTATATTGGTATTAACTTTCATTTAAAATTCATTTCAGATTTAAATTTTCCAAATCGAGCTGTCCACAATAATGATATAATTCTCAGAATAATTTTATGTAAATTCCAACCAGTTTACAGTAAAAAATGATGCAGTCTATTTTCTTAGTTTTGCATTCACAAATCTTATTAGTATAAGAAATTAGTCCATAATATTTTTTTCAAATTTTTTTAGAGCACAAATTCAATTTAAGTTGCGATTCGTAAAATCAATCATTAACATGATGCAGAATTTTGTTCTTGCTTTTTCAAGATTTTGTAAAAATATTAATTCAACATCATCAACTCCAAATAGTCATTTCCATTAATTTTAAACGACTGTATTTAAATTGGTATTAACTTCCATTTAAAATCCATTTCAGATGTGAATTGTCCAAATCAACCTGTCCATAATAATGATGTAATTCTCTGAATAATTTTGTGTAGATTACTACCAATTTGCAGAAAAAAATAATGCAGTATTTTCTTACTTTTGTGCTCTCAATTCTTATTAGTATAAAGAATTAGTCCATGATATTTTTGTTCTGATTTTTTGAGATCAGTCTCTCGTTTAACTGAACCATTCATAAAATCAGTTATCACAAAATCTTTTTTTCTTATTTTCCAAAATTTGAAAAATCATCTTTTTATTAATTACTAATTTTCTAAATCGACTTGTGCCCATAATAAGCAAATAATTCGTATAATAATTTTATGTAAATTAACAACTAATAATAAGTGATAATTAACAACTAATAATTTTGTGCAAATTAACAACTAATTTTCACAAAAAAAAACGATGCATTTAAATTTGTTACCTTTGTACGCCCAAATTTTATGCAATTTATTGATCAGCCTCTCCACCCCGTACCCAGTCTGTGCCGAGATCAACTCCACATGTTTAATATTAAACTCCCGAATGCCAGCCTCCCTGAGAGCCTTCATCAACGACGCCTTAACATTATCCACAAATCGTGAACAATCCTTCGGCAGTAAATCCACTTTGTTTCCCACCACAAATATGGGAGTGTACTTCCCAATGATCGAGGGTAAGTCCGGCCAGATACTGCAGGGAAAGTCGGTCAGATCGATCATGAGTATCACAGCAGCTTTTCGCTTCTTCAGCTGAATCTGACTCAGAATTTCAGGGTAAGCTTCAGCAGACACCTTGACTTCCAACGTCACATTGTAATTCTTCATGAAGTGGCACCTCTGGCAGATCGTGTTCTTCAAGTCATCGTCGGATTTGAGATTTTTGAACAATTCTGAGGGTAAATATCCGGGTAACGCAGAGTCCTGGCAATGTAATAATGCCCCACAGCCACCACATGGAACATTACTGATGGGAGTATTTCTATCTGGAGTTCCGTAGTTCAACTCCCAGGAGGTCTCATCCTCTTCGTCATCATATTGCTCGTAATCAGTCATCCAGTTCGGTGGGACATTCTCTAAACTGTCTTTCGGTCTCTTTATCTCTGTACTGAGGGATTTTTTTTAAGTGCATTGTTTGGGAATTACCACATCAGAGATTCAGCCATTTTTGATCGTCAAATTTGTCAATTCAATTGCGTGAGACATATTGGAAAAAAATCATGAATACTCAGCGTCATTAAAAGTACATTCTGCACAGAATTATTCTTTTAAATGTTCGGAAACCTAATTTTTTTAGGCATGAAACCGATTTCTGGTAAAATTCAGAACATGAATAAATTTGGCATGATTCCAAAAATAAATAATTAATGCAAAACAATTAATTGTTTATTGTTCGTTCGTCCCACAAGCGATTAAAATGTTAAAAATAGTCCAGGGCCTCCAATTTTAGAGCTACAGAGGATTTTTTTTTCACAAGTATTGAAAAAATGTATAGAATAACAATTACGAATTAGTTTTTTGAAATTTAACTCCCAGGCAGCTAATTCCTTTATGTCTTTAATAAAAACATGAATCATTCATGTTAAACAACCCGAAAAATGTTTCTGAAATAATGGAAAATATATTTTCACTATTTTAAGGATAATTTTTCTGTCTATTTTACATCAATTGTGGCAATTTTAATTTTAAACAAAACGAAATTAGCTGTGTAGGAGTCGAATTTCAAAAAGCAAATTCGTAGTTATTATTGCACACATGTTTTCAAAAAAAGGAAACCTCTGTAAAATAATACAATTACAAGATCAATAAACAATTGATTTTTTTGCACTAATTTAATGAGTTTTTCACTGAAATCGACTCTTGAGTGGATGATGCATCTTCCGCATAAACGATTTTAGTCTCAACATGTATTTAACGCCTTTTTCGGTATGAAATAAAACGGGTCAAGTCGCATTTTGAGAAAAATCCATTTCTTTTGTTCTTTGTACTGAAAACAAAATTATTCAATTTTATCAACATTTCGACCCCTCATTAACATTAAAAAAAAAGTCAAAAGTGTCCGTTTTACCCCAACCTCCCCTATTGCCTAAACTTTTTTCAATATCCCATTACTTATCCTACTACTGTCAGCCATGGAAATGAATAACTTAATAACTCCTAGTAGTCCCCCCTCAACAAAATTTTGTCTTTTTACCTCCGTGACTTGCCCCCTGGTTCCTTCGCCTCCGCCTCCTCCACCAGCCTCTCCAAACTCTCCATTCGTCTCTTCAACCTGGGTGCAATGTTCGTGGCCTCCTTGGCGTCCAGATACTTCTCGTACAGCTTCTGATACTTGGTATTGAGAAGAGGCTCAGGCCCCTCATCACCAGGTGCTTCAGTCTCCTTCAGCTCATAGTGGTCTATCGAGGCATAGGGCATGTGAATCGGCCTCTCCCTCTTCTCCTCCCGCACCGGCTCCTCAACTTCTTTCTCCTCAGACTTCCCCTCATCACTTCGCAAATACTTCAAAGCAACACTGTAAGTCGGAGCCTCCACCTGAGCCCAGAAAAGCCTCCACCGTTCCTTGCTCACCAGCTCAGCCTCAATAGCTTTATTCACCGCATACCCGTACTTCAATCGTTTCCTATCGATATAATCCGAGTAAATTAGTTTATCCTTCAGGGCCTCGACCCGGGGATCCAGTCGTATTTTCACTTTCCCACTGCTGTCAACTTCCAAATTGGCGGTAGCCTTCGCATACCCCTGGATATTTCTCGCCCACCATAACCTCCACTGCGACCGCACAATCAAACACCTCAGGGAACAATCGGTTGTCACGTCCGTTCCACCAGCGAATGATCTCCCGATTCGCAACATCACTTCAAAAATCACCGGCCCACGTTTTTTATCACCTCAAATTGCACCTTGAAAAACACTCATCACGCGAAAACGTGGGGCACTTCTATTCTGTTTTTGAGGAGGCTTAACCTATCAGTGGACAACTCAGTTGAACAGAAAAATAACATTGACGAAATAAACCATTCATGTTATAAATTATTTTTCTCATCAAATTAGAAGTGTTTTGGCACACTTTTCCGGTGAAACAAACAATAATTGAAGGAAATGTTCGTAGATAATGGAGGACTTGTGACTGTAGTGGTAACAGTCGAATTTTGATCGGGCAACATCGCACGCTTCGGCTAGTAGTGGGGTTCTAACAGTGAGATGAATGTTGTGTGTGTTATACGTGTCCGTATGCTTCCAGCACTGAATTATCGTCGCCGACTTTACCGACCTCGATCAGCTGTTGTGTGGTGTTGTCGGGTTGCTCGACTCGTAATGGCGGTCAAATTTTTTTAGAGGAATTCGAAAATCAACCGAAGATATCACGCCTATATGGCCCGGTCCCTTACTTGTTCTCACCGGCGATAGATTCTCCGTAGTCTAAAGTAAATGGCTTGTGGTTTTTTTTCAATATCTTGAGTGTCTAACCCATGCAACATCTCGACCAAAGTTCACACGGTCACGTTTCTTCCCTAAGCGTAATGTTACAAGAAGTGATTTTCAGAAATTAATTTCTCACTGGGATGCCCCGATGGAAGGATTAAGATTATTACTAATGTATTGCTCAAATGTGAACCTGGCGTGGGAGACAATATCAAAATTATGGTGAATAATGTGGGTTTTGGCTAAACATCCTTAATTGGGACTTTTCGTTTACGAAAAGGTAGATAAAATAGAAAAATTATAATCTAAATGAACAGAAATTTTGAGTGGTTCGAGTAATAACATTCGTTATCGAAGCAAAATCAACATTTGACACAAAAAAATGTTCATGGGAGGACGTAAGTTGAAATCGAAATAATTGAAAAAAATGACAAAAAAGAGAGGGGGTCATAATAGACTTGAATGAATCCCCGCTGTCATGTCCGCACAGTCACACCAGAAAGGGGTGGAGCGAGCGAAGCGAGCGGGGGGGCAAAGCCCCCCCGGGGTTGGCGAGCGAAGCGAGCAGAGGGTGAAGCCCCCTAGTATAGAAAGAAATTGGCCGTTATGCCACTTGATCAAGAATGTTTATCGCAAAGTACTTAAAACAAATTCCTTTCCCTTTGATACAAATTTCAATCCACCAACCCATGTTCATTATTTAGAAATGAAATAGACAACATACATCAAATGCACGCGCTAACAGGCGCTTATATGGGATAGAATCATTCTAATATTTCCTCTTTTTGCCCGGGTGCCCCACATTTTTCTCTGGCCATTGGATTTAGTACGATTATACACATTACCTCCTATTTTTATTTCTATTTTTAGAGTCCTCTAATAGGTGAATTATCAGTTTGAACATAAATTTCATAAGAGCCCGTGTATAAGAAAAATTAATTTAGTCATTTCTGCCGAGACTATTGCGATTAATTTTTTTTAACGTTAGAAAAGTAGTTTTATATGTTCCGCTGTCAGCCGAAAAAATTACAGAATTTTCTTTGACCCTGAAAAAAACACATTTACAGACAATTTACCGACACTGGCTAAACATCCTTAAGATTATTACTAACGTGTGGCTCTAATATGATCCTGGCATGTGAGACAATATCAAAATTATGGTGAATAATGTGGGTTTTGGCTAAACATCCTTAAGATTATTACTAACGTGTGGCTCTAATATGATCCTGGCATGTGAGACAATATCAAAATTATGGTGAATAATGTGGGTTTTGGCTAAACATCTTCAATCTGGACTTTTCCTTTATGAGAAAGTAGACAATACAAAAAAAAATAGTCGTCATCCCTCGTAAGGGGAGACTACTGTGGGATTTAAAAGTCGTGGGTTATTGGAGTGAGACTTTTCATACGTTGAAGATCGATTATATAGATCTGAAAACGAGTAATTAGTGCAAAAAAAATTTTTTTTATTGTTCGTTTGCCCGAAAACGCTTAAAATGCTAAAAACAGTCCAGCGCCTCCAATTTTTGAGCTACAAAAGATTTTTTTTTTCAAAATTTTCCGAAAAATGTGTGGAACAACAATTACGAGCCAGTTTTTTCGAATTCGACTCCTACACAGCTGATTTCTTTTTTTTGTTATAAAAAAATTCACTATTTGCGTAAAAAATGCAAAAAAAGCAAATTTAGCCATATAAGAGATGAATTTAAAAAAATAGCTCGTAATTGTTATTCCACATATTTTTCCGAAAATTTTGAAACAACAAAATCATTCGTAGCTCAAAAATTGGAGGCCCTGGACTGTTTTTGGCATTTTAAGCGTTTTCGGGCAAACGAACAATAAAAAAAATTTTGTTTTGCACTAATTATTCGTTTTCAGATCTATATAATCGATCTTCAACGTATGAAAAGTCCCACTCCAATAACCCATGCCTTTTAAAACTCACAGTAGTCTCCCCTTAATTAGGACTTTTTCCTTCAATAATTGTTTTCTTTATTCTTCAACAAAATTATTACAGAGTCACTTTTTGAGCTCGATAGCACTACGAGCCAAACTCCATCAGTCCACGTGGCACACTTGTGTTTATAATGGGCACTACACTCCACTGAATGTGCCGCATGTCCGCCATTCGATCCCCCGGCCAATCAGAGACCGCCGATAGCTTCAGCTCGCTCTCGCGAGATGGAATAGTCGATGGTGTTCAAAGCGTGCGAGCGTGCGATGTGTGTAGCTGCGAGATGGCCGGTCCAGCTAGGGTACGTAATTATTCATTTACCACGTGACAAGTAAGATGATTTTGACAAAATACTTTTTGCCAATCAATAACGGACACTTGGGCGATTGAGTAATCATGAGGTGTGCCGTCCTGACGTGGATATTTTATGTCATCAAATTGTTAGAGACGCCACCGCACAAGGTCGTCGCCATGTTTGCATGTGTGCACACTGCAGTATGCAGGGTATTGTTGTGTGTGTTTGTTATTGTTTTGAAAATGTAAACATTGATTGGGGGGGTGACAATGACGGGGATTTTTGGGGGCGGGGGATCGGGTCATCGCGGTGATGATGGGGACCACGTGGCGTGCGGTGTTCAGAGGAGGATTGGGCGTGAGGGTTTTATTTATTCGTTGATGGGCTGTTCGGAATTTATGGGAGGACATGGTGAGGGCCGGAGGGATAGGGCGGTGGGATGTTTTTCGGGGGAGATTGTTCTATTGGAAATTGAACGATTTATGAAGTTGAAGGATAAAATTGGTGGGGTGATTAAGCATTTTATACTTCTTTCAATGGGTTTTGGTGGACTGAATGACTGGGTCGAGAGATGAAGTTGTTCTCCCTTGGGAGGTTTTAATTTATTTAAAAAAATAGTTTTGTAGATTGCTTTATGGATTTTTTTACGGATTGGTGGGAGAGGAATTGAGAGCCGCCGGGAAATTCGGTGTGAGGGTGTAGTTGGGCATTTTTTAACCCTCCGTAATAAACGATAGTACTTGATACGAGGGTGCGGTGATTCGAGGGAACGTTGACGACCCGATCTCTCCCCCCGCTTTGTTCTCTGCCGGTGGCTAAAGCGAACGTTGAATTTCGGTTGGGCCAAAACAACTGCGCAGTGATATCACGTGACGCCACCCTGTTTTCACGTTGTGTTCTAGGTATCGGAAGCATTAGACAGATGGAGGCGAAGGAAGGAGTCGAGAAATTCAATACGGAGTATTGAAATTCTTTGGCTTGTTGATTTTTTTTTTTTTTTTTGGGAATTGGTGTCTTGGATTTGAATGTAGAGAGAAAGTTTTGATTTTCATATTGCTGGAAAAACGTGGGTGGATTTTCCGGAAAAACACCTTGAATTTGATTTAAGGATTAAATGTCAATGGAATGTCAAGTTTCGATGAAAATTCAAGTAGTCTCATTTTTTAGCGGCAGGAAGATGAAAATTTTATTGGCAGTGTCTATTCCGTAGATATACCGTAGATATACGGGACGTTTTCCCGTGGATTCAAGGTAATTTCTACCGTGGATATATGGGAGATTGTGGACCCTCAACTTTTACTTCTCAAATTAAATCTACTTCAACTCTGGGAGTTCAGTTCGAAACCAGAGTTCATAGCAGAGATGTCAGACAAGATGTGAGTGAGAATCGACCGTGAATCCACGGTAAAATTTACCGTAGAGCGTGCGAATAGACACTGCCAATTTTATTCGAGTTACATGAATTTTTCCGTTTAAATGAATATTCACTGCCAAATTCCCTTGAATTTTCAGAGAATTTCTTTAAAATGCTTGGAATTCTAGCAATTTTGAAGGAATTCCTTGAAAATTCAGAGGAATCTGGGATTCATGGAGAGATTTCTCTGAAATTTGCTGATTTTTCATCATTTTCTTTGGAATAAACTGAAATTTACTGTTCGCACGGTTTTTTTCATGAAATTATGAAGAAAGACGGAAATTCCACAATTTACATGAATTTACAGAAATTTTTAAGGAATCCCTTGAAAATTCAGAGGAATCTGGGATTCACGGAGAGATTTCTCTGAATTTTTCATTATTTTCCTTGGAATAATTAAACTAAAATTTTCCAGTACGCAGGGATTTTTTCATGAAATTATGAATTTTCATGAAATTAAGACGGAGAGTCCACAATTTACATTAATTTTCCGTGAAGATGAATATCCTCTTCCGAATTACCTTGAATTTTCAGGGAATTCCTTTAAAATTCTTGGAATCAGGAATTCGAGAAGAGATTTCTCAGAATTTTCCTGATTTTTCAACAATTCTCCCGGAATACTTAAACAGAAATTTAATATTTTATGAAATTATGAATTTTCAATGACAAAATTCTTTGAAATTTCAGTGGAAAATTTTCAACAGTGCGGGAACGCGTCACTTATTTTCAGGCAGGGACCCATCTCTCTTTTTAGGAATCTAGCACCAAATTTCACTGATAAACATCACTGAGGATCAGAGTCCGGGGTAGATGGCAAGCATGATTATATTTGGGCAAGGACTCTAGGTTCTGACATCAGAAAGGCAGATTGTGAACTTCGGGACGCCAGAAGTAAAATTTGAGGGTGCGTGGCGTCGCCAGGTTTGATTGCAGTCTTGGGATTTGTGAGGTTTTATGACGGTTGGGAGAAGACCCAGAGATTTTGGGGAATGAGGGGAATGGCCCAAAGGTCCTGTGTTGAAAAAACAAATGGGAGGGAGGGAATGACCCAAGGGTACGTTTAGGAGAGTGGGAATTGGCCCAAGGGCT